AAACTTGGAAAATAAAAAAAAGAATAATCATATGGGTACAAATATCTTATTTTTTTAAAGTTTTATTATTAATGCATACAGAACTGGGGTACAGGCACAGTGAGAGGATTCACCAGAGACAGAGTAAGGACCAGCATAGACAGATGTACCAGAAATACACTGCTGAGGGGAGCAGCGGGAGAGACAGGAAAGTTCTGCTGTACCATGTGTGTCAGCTCTGGGCCAGGGATCAAACTTGCACTGGGGCAGGAGATCAAAGCACCGAAGTGGCTGTCTTTAACCCACTGTGCCAGTAGGGAGGGCCAGGTACAGCTATCTAAGGGGCTATGAGAATGGAGCAGAGATAACCTGTTAACATTTACACTCAACGATTCAAATACTTCCCAAAAGCTACTGACTCACAGGTCATGTCTCCAGCCCTTACTCTCTGAATTCCAGACCTATTATTTTCAATTGATCATCAGGAAGCCGAGGTGAGTTCCCCTGTGCTTAGATCTGGACAGACTTGTGCTCTGCATATGGCGCATAAATTATAGTGGCCCAGCCTCCTTGAGCTGTCCAAGTTTAGACCACAGAGGCTGCGCAGTTCTGCCTTGCTCTCTGGGCTGCAAGGTCTTTAGTTCCTAGGCTGCCAGGAAGACAATTTCATGGCCGGGAGGTTGCCATGTGGCGAGGAAGCTCAAAATAGCCTGAGCAAGGGGTCATGCAAATAGGCGCTGAAGAGGTGGAGACTTCATGAAGAGAGAGGCCTCACCAACCGAAGGCCTTCAGTTCCACGTTAGAGATCCTGCTAGAAGAGCCCACTGCGCTCTCTCTAAATTGCTGGCCCACAAATCTATGAAATGGTAAAATGACTGCTGCTTTGTAGCAACGTTAACGGAGCCCATGCCACACGCCATCCTTCCTCCGTGCTCCATGTTGTGGTGCTTTCTCTACTTGGAACACTTCCTTTGCCTAGCCATGGTCTGTGTATTTTGAGATCTTTGCTGAAGCTCCAGTGCCTCCAATGGCTCTGTCCCGGAGCTCCCAGAAGTTGGGTTCCTAATTTCCTCAGAACACACTTTCCTTTCCCTTTCTATATATGTCACAGTTGCATTTGTTCTCCTTTGGCTATCTTTCTGATGAATCTTCAGCATTCAGTCTATGCATTTACACAGCAGGCCAGGCATTGCGAATTCAAATGTCAACAGGAACAGGAAAGTAACATACATGAGAAAACGTGGGCAGTGAAGGGCTGGTGGGGAAATGAAAAGAACTTCTCCCATCTAGAGTGCAGCTGCTGTGGTAGGCTTTGCACCGCCAGAGCTGCCTCTATTTCAGAGATTAGGCAAATCCAGACTGTTATGTAAGTGTTAGAGTGATAGCAACTAATTAAAACTAAAACACAGGGCAAAAAAAGAAACGGAAAACAACAGCATCTCTCAATTCCATACTCCTTGTTTTTGGGGGATGACCAAACTCTCACTTTGTGTCACCAAGAATTGTGTTTAACTGAGGCATGGGTTAGCCCTGGGGCTGCTTGGAGTTTAGGAGTCACTTAGCTGTGCTTTCTCTACTTGTTCCTAGATGTTGTCAGTCAAATTCCCAGGGCCTGAAGACTTCTAGACCACTTACAGATAGCTTGGGAATTACTTATTTTTCTTTAGGAACGGGAACAAGAAACTGTGGCCAGTAAGTAAGTCTCACTAAATTCTCCATGTTCCTTCCCAGAGGGTAAATTATATGTATTTGTAGTGAGAAATGGGAACATGCAAAGCTCTTAAAAGTCTTGCAAATAGTTGATTTTGATCTTAAAGTTATGCTTCTTGTTATTTAATGTATCTATTAAAAATTGAAAAAGAGGGCCCTCCCTGGTGGCGTAGCTGGTTAGGACTTAGCACTGCAAGCTAGAGGCAGCTGCTTCAGTGTGAGCTGGATCCCAGGCCCTGGAGGTGATCCACATGGTGCAGCAGACCTCTCCTGACCTGCCCGCTGCTCCCCTCAGCAGTGTACTTTACTGATCTGCCTGTTCTGCTCCTCACTCTGTCTCTGGTGGGTCCTCTCACCATCCCTGCACCTCTGGCCTGTACCCCAGTTCTGTATGCATAAATAAATAAATAATTATTTTTAAAAAATTGAAAAAGAAAGGAAATATCAAACCAGGAAAAGATATAGAGGAAGATCCAAAGTAGAAGACCATCTGAGACTATTTGCTGCTTGATTCCACCTAGATGACACTCTGGGAAAAGCCAGAGTATCAAAATGATCAAGGTTTGCAGGGAGGGAGAGGGAGAGCAGGGGAGGGAGTGCTGTAATGATGAATGACAGCTGGAGCAAGGGCACCATGAGCAAGGGGTACCTGGAGCAAGGGGTACCTGGAGCAAGGGGTGAGCCATGACTGACAGGAGCAGATGTAGCTGGGGCTGCTTAGAGCTTGCACTGGGACCCTCACAGCACTAAAGAGAATCCTATCACTCTTCATATGGAGAAGATGATAGCTAGCTCTTCTAGTTATTATTTTAAAATATTTATTTATTTATTTATGCATACAGAGCTGGGGTACAGGCCAGAGGTGCAGGAGTGGTGAGTGGATTCACCAGAGGCAGAGTGGGGAGCAGAACAGGCCGACTGATGAAGTACACTGCTGAGGGGAGCAGTAGGCAGGTCAGGTGAGGCCTGTCATGCCATGTGGTCACCTCCAGGGCAGGGTGGGGAACAAACTCCTGCTGAAGCAGCTTTAGCTTCTTAGTGCTGTGCTTTAACCCACTGGGCCACCAGGGAAGGCCCTCTTCTAGTTATTATGACTCCTGGTAAGATAAGAAATTGTTCCTGTTGAACCAATAAGGAGGAAATGGAGGCCCAGCTGTATCAAGGTCCAAATTATAGAATAAAATCCAAAGTCTGGGGTCTCTTGCCTTAATGTATGGAAGGAGGGGAAAGTTTTGAGACTGGAAATCATAAGTCCGTTACTTAAGTGCCAGTAAAATGAGTCGTTCTCAGTCCCCTCTGTTTACACCAGAGATTGCCTGACCTTAGCTTTGAGTTTAGTGAAACTCTTTTATGCATGTTTCTTTTTTTTAAATTTTATTTTAAAAATATATTCTTTACATTATCCTTAATTTTTGTATAATTTATGATTTCCCGGTGAAATTCCCACCATCCACTCACCCATGCACCATCACCATAGTCTCTTGTGTTCTTCCCACCCCGTCCTGATTCTTCTTTCCCCTCCTCCCCTACAGAATGTCTCTGATCTATAGTTGTCTGATGATTTTGATTTTTACTTTATTATAGTTACTTTATTTTTTTGTTTCCTTATTTGGTTTCTCTACATTCCTCCTATAAGTGAGACCATTTGATAGTTTTCTTTTTCTTTCTGGCTTATTTCACTGAGCATGATCCCTTCCAGCTCCATTCATGTTGCTGCAAAGGGCATGAGTTTATCCTTTTTGATTGCTGAGTACCATTCTAATGTATAAATATACCACTTCTTGATCCAGTCATCTATTTTTGGGCATCTGGTTTGCTTCCATAGCTTACCTAGCATAAATTGTGTTGCAATTAACATAGGGGTGCAGGAGTCCTTTTGAATTAATGCTTTGTGTCCTTTGGGTAGATTCTTTAGAGTGGAACTGCTGGATCATATGAAAGCTCCATTTTTACTAGCTTGAGAAATTTCCACACAGCTTTCCATAGTAGTTGGACCAGTTTACATTCCAACCAGCAGTGTAGGAGAGTTCCTTTTTCTCCACATCCTCACCAACATTTGTTGCTGCTAGTTATTTTTAATATATGCCATTCTCATTGGTGTAAGGTGGTACCTGATTGCTGTTTTTATTTGCACTTCCCTGATTACAAGTGATGGTGAACATTTTACCTGTCATATGCCATTTCTTCTTTAGAAAAGAGTCTTTTAGCCCTTCTGCTTATATGTCTGTTTCTTTATCCATGTGAATTATGGGATTCAGACTACTGGAAAGTTAGAAAAAAAAATTACCTTCAGCAGAGGGCTGGACAATGTCTAAATGTTGCTTTGTTTTTGGTGTTACAAAGTTTAGTCTCAGTGCATTTTACAAGAAGCAAAACAAGGAAGACTCATGTAGAGAAGAAAACACTCCTCCCAGGCTGGGGCAAGGCTCCAAAGCATTGTTTGGAGAAGCCCCTTCAGCAAATCAAACTAAATTGAAAGAAAGATTGAGCAATAGTTAGATTAAAAGATACTGTTTTGTGTGTTTTTCAGCAGAGAACGAAAGAATGCATGCGGGAGAGAGATCAGACATTAGAGGGAAGCAGCGTGAGTAGGTGAGAGGAGACCAGGAGCTCTGGAGTTCCTGCACCCAACACTCAATTTCATAACCTGGGCTCACACAATGCATGCATTATTTGCTAAGTATAATTCTAGAGGCCCAAGATTTCCCAGCTCCAAACCCCAACCTGCCACATACAGGGCTGCTAAAAACCATTTTGTTTATCTAGAGCTGGGTGAAAGAAATAGCATTTTGGTGCTGCTTGCCTCATTAAAAAATTTACTAATCTCATTTATTGTCTTTTATCCCTACTAGAATGTAAGTCCTTTGAGGGCAGGGATTTGCTCACAACTTTATTCTTAGCTCTTGAACAGTCAATGTCTTGCACATAGAAGACAATTCACATTTACGAGGAAGAAAGGAGAATCAGAGCTTCAAAAGAGGAAGGGCAGCGAAGAAAAAGGGAAGAAAGGAGGCGGGGATGGAGATGGTGTAAGGGAACGGGTTTGGGCTGGAGGCGTAAGAAGTCCCAGGTCCGCTCCCACGCAGCCGGCAGCTCCCAGAACTACAACTCCCGGCAGTCCCCGGGCCTAGAGCTGGCCTAGGTACTCCGTGAAGACTAGGCCCCAGCCCTTCAGGCTCCCGGCGTGCATTGCGAACGTCGGCGCCGCCCCATAGCTAGCCGGGACTTGTGGTCCAGGCCGCGGGCGGGGGGGGGTGGGGCAGGGCATGGAGGCGGGCGGGGACCGGGGGCGGGCGCAGGCCCCTCCCCCGTCACTTCCTGCCGGGCTGCGGGCGCCGGAGCGGCTCTTCAGCGTTTTCGCCGGCGGCCGCCGCGTCTGCCTCGGCTCCCCCTTCCTCTGACCCCCCCGGCCCGGCGGCACCCGCCTCCTCCGCGGCCACTCCGCCTCTTCCCTCCGTCCCTTCCTCCTCTCCCTGCTTCCTTCCTCCTTCCCCTCCTTGCCGCCGCCGCCGCCCAGGACCGCCGGCCGGGGGACGAGCTCGGGGCAGCAGCCAGGTGAGG